AAATAGCAATTACAACATATCAATTCAAAACTCACCAAAATTGATTCATGAAGTAATAAAAAAATGTACTGTATACTGTGCTTGTTAATTTTGCCAATGGTTTCAAACAAAATTACATTATTTGGTGCATTTTATTCAATCTACTTAAGGGCACTCTATCTCACTATTTTAATGTTAATCACTGATACTTTAGAACCAACTTGTATTACACTCTCTAAGGCTCTTCTCATTATTGCTGAAAAGAAAAAATAAAGATACTAAATCCTGACCTAACAGCAACATAACCTTCCTATTTTAATGGGCCTAAACAGATTACCTCACTATGAGATAGTACGTGAAATTTCCAGGCAGACAGCGTCAAAAGCTGAGAAAACACTGGCAGTTAATTTAATTGTAAAGGCTACATCATCGTGGTTTCAGAACAATCTGTTTCAGCCTCATACGTAACTCCTGACAGAAAGGAAACCGCTGACATGAGCAGAGGAAGTGGTAACAGTATGAATCGCAACTGATCTGAACCTCACATTACCATACATGCTGGGAGATGGCAGGCTGGCTAACATGGCTCAGGGCAATTCAGATGTCTCTCATCAACACTGTGCATCATACAGAACTAGAAGATAACACCAAGAGGGTTGGTTGTAACTTGCAAGCATCAAATCTGTCTATAACAAAACTCCTTGATATTACTCACAAAATTATCTGCAATAATCCATCACTATGAGCAGGTCAAGTAACAGCAGGTGTGAGAGGCAACCTGGTTTATCTCAAACACTGACTTCCTTGGAAATGTTTGATCTTTATGACTAAAACATTCCTTGGAAATGTTTGATCTTTATGACTAAACTTGGAAATGTTTGATCTTTATGATAAAACATTCCTTGGAAATGTTTGATCTTTATGACTAAAACATTCACAATCCATAATTAGCTACAGATAGCATTTCAAACCTGCTTGCCATATCGATCTACTTACTACTGTTAGGTATTTTTAGTCAGATAGAAATTGGATAGACACTTTATGTATTAGAAATGTTTAGTAGAGATAGGATGTCTAGTTAGACTGTTAAATGCTTAGGCCTGCATATGAGTTTCTACAGGGTACATCTGGTCAAGGACAACTAGAGAGAAGAGTTGATGACTGTGTTTAATATTATTATTATGACGTGTATAACTGTAGCCTTAGCCATAATATGTTCTCATGTTTAAGTCACGACATGTACTAGAGGTAATGAGAATGTTTTTAGCTACACACCACTTAATCAACAGACACACATACGCACACTGATTTGCTTCATGTTTTGACTACTGCTATGGCCAGCTGCAAAGCTGGCAACAGGGACGTCACGGTTGACGTTTCTGTGTAGTATGGGGCTAGCCAAACCAAAGGGATATAATGTATAGGCCTGGTGGGTTCAGGGTCTTTCATCTTACATCTGCCTGCGTGCAGGTTGGAGGTGCAAGATACCTGAGCGTGTAATGTTAATTTTACCTGTGATCCTTTGAATAAATCAGCACTATTTTGAAGTTACTTGGACTGTCTCGTCTCTCAGAGTTAGCAATGGTAAGAAGAGCCATAATCCTACACTACTATACTGTACTTTAGAGCAGTGTGTGGAATTAAGCAAACTGCCAGATGTTTGTAGCAGTTTAGATTCCAATTTTGTCCCACGTTTGCTTTCCGTTGAGAGAACATAAACTGTCTCTCTCTTTGTTTTTTCTTACATGGCCCCTTGGTGCAGCGGAGGTGCCAGCATGTTTCTGAATACATAGATATAAAGCGAAAGTAGAGAAAAGGGAATGCTATCTCGCCTAAAGTTCACACTTCTACTAGCACCACTGCAGAAAATCTTGCTATAATTGTCAAGCAGAGTGCAAGGATGATGTTTCTGCAACCGAAACTTGAACAATTAAGGCTTTAAACACATCAAGTTAGTTTATCTATGAACAGACAAAAGGACAACTGCCATTAATGTCAAAAAAAAGCCATAGGTCAAAAAAAATTATTCTTCACAAGTCCTCCACTGCACCGCATGCAGAGTTAAAGCACAAATGCTCCAACAATAAAGACAGCATTTTCCTATAAAAGGTGATCATTCACTCCGTACATTCACCAGTGCTTAATGAAGATGGCAATATGAAGCTCACCCATTAAAGTTTCAATGGAAGTGTGCCAGCCATCCTGCTAGCTCTTGATCTATGAAATAAGCACTTCAGCTCTGTACCAGACTTAAAACAAAGTCAAAGCAGGAAAAAGAAAAACAATGTAGTTGGTTTTCCTGTCCTGATTTGCATGCCACCTTAGCTCAGCCTGCATGTTTAAGTGACTGGTGCTGTTGGGCTCTGAACCGGAACAGCATCCTTTAGAACTTTCAGCAAGACCAATGTTCTTAAAGAGTTAAATGTTGCATATAAATGACATTCTTATGATCATATTGTTTACCTGTATTTGCCAATATCTGCACACACTTGAACCAAGTACTTTAATCTATTTTAATGTGACTGGTGTTGTTTTCTAATATTCTTTAGGAAGCACCTCAGGTTGTCTAGCATAACTGTAAGAAATCTGAAAATAACTAAATTCTTCTAAGCATTCTATTGTCTGGGTGAAGAGACTATAATTTACTTGCATTTCTATCAATTACTCTGCCCTGGAGGTTTTGCTCTGTTGATCTGACTAACGGTGACTCACTGAGACCAGGAAACGATGATTAAATGCTATCTACTGAAATTACAGCAAGGCTTTGCCTACATCACGGTCCTGGAAAACATTATTTGTGGCACCACTCAGCTATTTAGATAATGTTGTTAGATTATCTGAGATAAGTACTAGACTACCTTTTTGAAAGGAGGCTGAGTTGTGACAAGAACTAAGTAACTGTATAAAATCATGGATGGATTACCCAACAGGCCTAAAGGACACAGACCTAAGAGACTGAGACATCAGGAGGGCCTGGGCCCATTGTCTCTGTATGAATGTTTCTTGTTTGAAAAATCATGGAACCCAGTCACAGAGCATAACAGTTATAAAATTACCACAAAGACATGCAAAACCATCCCAAAAGTTCTATAACAACTACAGAGAGACAAATATTGACCATAAAGAGACACAAGGGAACTGCAAAGGGACTCATAACAATCAAAATGAGATGCAAGACTACCATAAAGAGGCGCAGAGCAATATATAAAGACACACGGAATGACTGATAGCCCTCTATAGAAGGGGTCGGGGCTTTTTCCTGTCTATACTTAGGAGCCATTTTTCTTATAATCCGTTTGTTTACAATGAACGTCAAATCACTGCTTCTAGCACAACTAATGCAATAAACCTTGGATACTTGTACACTACTTGTAATCTACTTGACACTGTGTATTTTTTGCTGCTGTAAATAATTAACGTCAATCGACCACAGGAACTTCCAGTTAAACTCATTCCAGGTCAGAAATGGAAAAATTTCATAAATATAGCCAACAGATTTGCTTCTGTCAGATGTACCAAACAGCTGCCAAGCGTTGAATATCATATATAAATAAGCTGATGTATTTGTCAGCACAGCTAACGTTAAACTACAGAAGTTGTTTTGATATTATTCACAAACCAGTGAATATTTCTGTTACTTTAGAGGCTATTGGACTCTGGTGTCCAGTGCCAAACTGTTTACACTATAGTGTCTATTGGGTATATACTCAGAACTCCAATGCGTTTTCAGACGTTAGCACTGTATGTTAGTAGAACACTCTGGAACTGTCAAAAATCCAGGCTTTTGTCCTATGAAGTACTTAACCTCCATCACCCACACCTAATTAACCTGATACCCCGTCAATAGAGGCTGGCCAAACTGGCCTGGGTAGGCACTGTACCGAATTAGCACAGGTTAGCATACGCAAACACAAACGTACAGTTATTAACATTAGCCACCTAGCTAGCAAGTTAGATATCCGGAGTACAGCTGCTTGATCCGATTAGCGCTAGCGCCATTGACGGGCACTGAACACTTTCCGTTCACTGTGAATCAATAACAAACTTACCTGTAATATATCGTAGACAGCAAAACATGAGAATTAGTTTAACAAATATCATATCGAAACTGTCTGTAAGCCCAGCAAACTAGCTAAGCGACACCCCTGACTGCTTCTTGTTTCGTTTTATTTCACTTAAAGGTATAGTCGCACTTCCTACTTAGCTGTCTCCCATCACCAACCCCGTCTCTGCCTGTCTCCAGCAGCCCCGCGCAAAACAGGCACAGGCGCTCCCTTCCTGTGTGTTTTGCCAAGAGAACCTAGACACACCCACTCCAAAGACCTCCAGGTCGGGGGGCTCTAAAGCAGCTACATATCACCTCAAAACAAACGTTCACATTTTGATAAGACGACAAAACACTGTGATGTAAACGCTTCTGCTATCATCCTGAAAACATGCATAAAAGTGTTTGGGCACTGTTTCCATTGATAAGTCTGCAAGTTGTGTACTTCCGCAAAGCCCGACTTTTACCACCTTTTGTTGAATAGTAGTGACGTTATACAGTATAGAAAACAAACCTATTCGTGAGAAAGTTCAAAATGAATGACTAAATAAAAATAGCAAACAAACAATACTCACATCTTAATAAAATAATTAAAATATATACTTCATTTGAAATATAAATGCAATTTAATTTAGCTAATTCTTTCAAACAAGATCGAGAGATAGGAGCCATGCCTAACCATAATCTAAAAATAGAATAAAATAAAATAAAAAAACAAGATCCCGTTTGCTCCTCTCTCCTTGGCAGTACTTCTGTGCTGTGGCTGTGGTACTGTCCTGAACAATATCACTACCAATCACATGCTTTATTTTATGTTAGGGTTAGCGTTATGTTTGGGTCCCACAATTCTAATGAAGCAAGGTTTCTAATGCAGACAGATCTGTCTGTATAAAGCTGTACCAGACAATACTGCTTCTCTTCTGCTCAGTCAAGTAATTGCTGGCACCCAGTGACTATAAAGTGTTACTGCATGGCTATTGACCAGACCTGTCCACAATAACCCTTTTACCTTAGGCTCAGTAGCCTAAATTCGGGAAAATAAAACATCAGAACAGACATAGGCCTATTACATAGTACAACATATTACATATCACGGGAGGTCTGGCTATGCAAGATTATTATGGCCCCACAAATGCGCGTGCACTTGTACGCAAGACGGTCACGGCTACTGCATGTTCTTTCATTCTACATTCAGGAGTCCTCGTTAAAAGGGGAACTAACAATTTCAAAGGCTTGAAGATGATGCCAGCTACACACTCTACAAAGATTTTAGCCTGTGCAGAAATTCTGAAACGTTAAATAGCTTGTATACACAGTTTGACAGTGTGATAAGTTATTAAATGTTTTCACAGCTCGTGATAGCCCACATGCTCTAGAAATACAGATCACCAGCCTGGGCTTTTTATTCTGTATTTTGCCACCTTGCTGAGGACATGGATACCCCAAACAGTCCTAACTGAAAAGCTGAAAGTGACCGTTTTAGTAGCAGGTTACATACATCAGTGGGAACTTTTCACAACAGAGGCTATCTCTAAGATACATAATGTGTATTTTTGGGTGAGAAATATAACGTATTCTTTAACGATCCATAAAAATGCCAGCTACTACAGCCTAGTTATTCAAAAATGCTTTGCACACGGCTGGTTTAAATAAGTACAATGAGTGATACATTTAGAATACGAGCGCACTCAAACGTACACCCGCCTGGCCATAGCTTTTCTAGCGATTCACTCTGATGACGTCACTCCCAGAGTTGTCATGGCGTCTTTAGGACCGAGGCTGCTGCTGCAATTTAGCTAAAATCTGTCGACAGTCTGTATACCGAAATGGAGAAAAATGCAAACCTCCATCCAGACACTGACGGGAGCTCTTTGTGTGCCACGATTGCGGGAGAGATGGACGAGGTTACAGCTGTCGGAGGAGTGAAAGGAGCAGCCGAGAAATGCAAGAATAGTGAGGCTCCTCTCAGTACTTTGGTTAACGTTAGTTGTAACAACGGCACCACAAACGCTAGTGCTCCCAGCGCCGGGGAGTCTGACGTGCCAGGAGTCATCGAAGTGTTCTCCGTGCTGGAGGATGGGAAGAAGGACGCCGAGGCGAGCGGACCGTGCTCGAGTTCTAGGGATCAGATCAGCAATGGGATGGGACATGATTTGGTCCTGGCTGCAGATGATAGCGAGGGTGGTGCCTCAAAGTTAACAAACAACAAACCCGACGGCCCGGCCTCGCATCCCACTAAGGAGAGCACCGATGTCCAGGCAGAGACTTTGACTTGTGGAGAAAGTGAACCGACAAAACTTGCGAAACCGACTCATCTGTGTCCGGACAATGTAATCACAGCAGGTGTCAAATTGGGGCTGTCCGGTGATCACACCTTATCGGAGGGATTGCCGAGTGGGAGTGACCCCGATCCCAGCCTTGGCGGGGAGTCCCGAAGCATAGATTCACTCGAGTCCTTCTCCAACCTCAACTCGTGCCCCAGTTCCGACCTGAACAGTGAGGGGCTGGAGGACAGAGGGCTGGCCCTGGCCGTGCAGAACGAGTACGAGGCAGATGGGACAAAGGCTTCGTGGCCTAAGGACCGGGCCGGTCAGTCCATATATCACATCAAGTGGATCAAGTGGAGGGAGGAGAATACGCCGATCATCACCCAGAACGAGAACGGTCCCTGTCCACTACTGGCAATCATGAATGTCCTGCTGCTTGCATGGAAGGTAAAGGCTCTGAGATTGGCAATAGAAACTTGATTCCAACTTAATACAAGCAGGCTATTTGCAATTCATAAGTTATTGTATACAATTACAATAAAAAATTGTTGGACTTAATTTTGCATTTATATTTGCTATAGACATGAACCAGATCTAAGTCCTTGTGCCTCCTGTTTGCCACCACAAATACTTTGTCAGGACATGCAGTAGACAATATCAAGATGTCAATACATGATGAATGCTGAGAGGTGTCAGGTGTAACAAACTGTAGCACATCTACCCCAACAGACATATTACAATACTTTGACAAATGGGTATAGAACAATATGTGTCCACGTGTCTCTGTTGCAGGTTAAGATGCCACCTATGATGGAAATTATAACTGCTGAGCAGCTGATGGAGTATCTTGGTGAGTGTTTGTAGTTGTTAAACCTAACAAGTTTAATCACTGATCAAAGGTGGAAACGTAATGATTGTATTAAGCCACTGAATCTGGCCCACCGTTGCTTGGCATTTTTCACCTGGTTTTACATTTTAACTTAATTTGTAACTTGCAAAAAATATTAAAGTAGCTTAGTATGATAATAATACGTTGGCCTGCTTCTACAGTCACACCAACTGTCAGTCAATAATATATATTTACATGTGCCAGAGAATGAGAGACCATTCATATGGAAGCATTCATATGAGTAAGTGCTGCCCATAAATCCACACTTGTAAACGTACCAGCCCATAAAGCCACGGGCATATATATATAAGAGTCAACAGAGGAAGAGTCCAGAACAGGGGAGTCCCCTGTGAGCCAATCCTTTGTTGTTGCACAGTAAACAGGCTCTGCTGTGTCAATTATTAAAATTAATAATTAAAATTACTTTAAAAGATCAAAGCTGAGTATCTCATTATAGCAGCGAGTCTTCATAAGTAGAGCCAGTCCTCACTAATGTCTCCTCACATCTCTGTCAGGGTCTTCAGTTTCTACAGCACACAAAGTTCATCTTGTGTAATGTTCAGGGGTTGCTATATAACCGTACAAAACTCAGCACTGTTTCTCATAACACAGACACAAACACCAAGGGTAGATGAAGTTCAGATGTGGTGTTTAAAGTGAGAGGCGGTCATTACTTAGCAGCTCAGCAGGACGCACTGTTGTGTGCCAGTGATCTAGACAGGCAGATACAGATGTTAAGGTTTTGGGGGTTTGGCAGAGACGTGTGAGTCCACAGGTCACTGGAGTCCAGTGACAGGGTTTTCCCTGTCATTATCATTTTGTAGTAAAACCTCAGTTGGCCCAGCCCCCTGCTGGAAAACACTAAATCCTAGCAAAAAAAAAATAGAACAGGTCTATACTTGCTGATGATAGCATTAACTGTATTAGTTAGGATAGTTATTTCTTACAGCATTGTGATTTTCTAGGCCAGTAATTACAATTATACAGAACTTTATTATGCATTATCTATTGTACAGAAACTATTTATTGTGCAGCTTAATTGGCTTTTTTCCTGGATATATTCCATTCACTCTGTTTGTTTGAACAAAATACACAGGAAAGCATTTTTTTGTCCTCCATGAGTAGCTGTTTTCACTTAATGTATCTTTTGATGACAACAGGTCGATGGCAGGAAAAGTATGTGTTGACAGTGCAGAACTGTAGTCTTGCCAGTTCCTAATTAATGGTTCACTGTGAAACATTTTGAATTTTAAAAGTAGGGACTCGATTGCAATAGCAAAAGTATACAGTATTTGCATTACTTCCTTTGCGATCCATTCTATGTGAAATACTTTAAATAGTTATTAAAAGCATAAGAAAACAAATGGAGAATTGTATAATCAATTAAGTATTTGCAAGAAGGCAAACAAATGACAACAATAACAAACATGTGGTGTAGCGGTAGCTTGGCTTGCCTTGAATAACAACCACCTCCCTATGCTGCCTAGATTTGTTTTGTAAAGACTTGGCTTAGGAAACAGCTGGCTAGCGCTAAACCCTCCAACGGCCATTAGAAACATCTCAAAACATGTCACGCTCTATGAAAATCTTAAACTATAAATCCACTGTGATGATCAGTGCAAGTCAAGTTAGCGATTGCTTTGCTCTGTCAATACAACATAACCCAACATATCTGCCAATGTCTGTCTCTTTCTGCCCTTCTACAGGAGACTACATTCTGGAAACCAAGCCTAAAGAGATATCAGAGGCTCAGCGGCTAAACTATGAGCAGGTAAAGCCTGCCTAATCAATGCAGGATATTACTATTAAACAGGCAACGTTTTGCTTATGTGTGTGCACCTATAAGCTGCCGACTGTTTATAAGTACCTGGGGAGCACAGGGTTTTTGGGATGATCTCTCTTCCTCTTTCACTCCCTCTCTATGTCGAAACCATAATTGTGCAAGTTTAACGAGCCTCACTTTGTCTCATCGACACACCCAAAATATCTCAGCTGTTCATACTGCCATTGATATATTTTCATCAGATGCACACTTCTTTTTTCATGCTTAAACTAAAACAGACTGTGGAGTGAGGTAGCAGAGAAGGTCAGTGGATGCTCTGTAATATGGAAATAAGCATTGGGCTGATTGCAAACCACAAAGAACTGAAGCTTAGCTTCTTCCCACTGCTCTATAGGTTACATAAGATGTGTCTTGATAGGCCCAGAGAACAACAGGAGTCAGAAGTGTCAGATTGTGTTATTTCACATGGCAGTGAATGCTTAGAGACACATGGCTGGGTTCAGTTCTGGGCTATTACTGAGGGTGTGTGTGTGTGTGTGTGTGTGTGTGTGTGTGTGTGTGTGTGTGTGTGTGTGCGCGCGCGCGCGTAGTTCCAGCTCCCTTGCTTCCGCCCATCTCCACTGTCTGCCTACGATTTGGGAGGGGCACCAGCACATCTGTCAGTGATTTGAAGCCACACTTGTCCCTCATTTAAAGAGGGGGAAAAATTCGATGTGCAGCTTCCTTGTAGGAGCTGACTGGAATGCTCTTTCTAAATTTAAGCTGAGCTGAAATATAACCTCTTGAATAAATCAGTGGTGTCCTCAGCAAACGCTGTTATAGTCAGGGAGTGGTTAGTTTGTTTTGCACAGTTATTATGGCGGCAAATTCTAGACTCTGGGCCAGGAGCTGTTTTCTCATGTGGGTGTCCTCGTGTGTGTGCTGTGTGTGTCGGCGCCGTGCTTGACACACTATGTGGAGACTACAGTGGGCAGGGCTCTGGGATGCTGGGGATCCAAGAGAGAACAAGCCTGAGGTGTGTTTATGTGCATATCAAACAAAAGGTGTCTTCTTTCGTACTTCATAAAGAAGTATGTTTTCACTGCTTATTGCATTGTTATAAAATACGACTGAGGAAGCATAAAACAGAAGAAGCTCTAGTTAGACTTTCATCCTAAAAACATAATCTGTTACAGGAGTGTGTGAGGATTAAAATGGCAGTTGCATGGCTGCTGTTTAGCTATTGTTAAATATTTACTCAGTGGAGCTGTAGTGTCGCTCTGCTTTTGTCTCAGTGGACCCAGCTCGGCCCTCTTACAGACACTTCATCCATGATGCCTGTTCAACCATCGGAAGAAATAGGTTATCACATTAAAGGAACCTTTTGTTTCAAATTTGGTGTGATTCACCATAATTCACAAATACTTCTGAACCTTTTTTGTGTTGAGTAAAGCAGATAAAATTCAGACATGGGCGTCAAAAAGCATTACTCTCCGATCTTGTGTACATTGTGACACTTTCTATGTGATATCTGGAGCCATTACATTTGTGACTGGACATGGAAGAGATTAAAAATAATTCATTCAAAAGCATTTGAGAAATGCATTTCGCTGATTTCTGTTTTTGTAGCTTATTTCTGTGCTCGTTTGGTAGTTGTTTTTTTTTTTAAATACAAACTTCTTGGGATTTTTAGTTTTGGACAACAGATTTTTAAATACCTAAACAGGTTTATCAGTAACGTCATTATAATACACTACCACTGAAAGTCAATAAATGGTGATATTGAAGTATTATCCAATCTTGTTTCAGTCAGTAAAGTGCAAATTCAGGTTTATTGCTCCACTATCTCTTAAGTAATTGGAATAGCTTTTGGGTCATTTTCCTTGTATCTCCACCGTCTCTAGCAGTGTATTGTTAAAGAGGTTCATTCATAAATGGAAATCACTCACAACTACACACTCATAAGAAAGTTGTAGGTCTCAGGTTTTCACTGATCTCACACTTAAATGGCAGCAAAGCTTTAGAGCTGGGAAATAATTGTTCTGAGGCGCAGTGCAAGAAACAGTCCGTTTCGTTGGGTTCTCAGATGCGTGGTGCATTCATGTGGTTTACATATGATTAGGTCAAGTTCTCATTCAGCGCAGTAAAATATGAATGATAGTCATAGGTTGTTTCTTTTCAAGCACTCAGTGACTGATGGGAAATAAAAGAAGCTCTCCTAGTACCAGGGAGGGAAACTGAAAAACAGTATAAAGTCAAACCAGAAACATGTGTGTAAGCACATGAATAAAAACATAATAGAATTTGGTCATTTGTTGAGCAAAGTAAATGAGAAGTGCCATGGGAGACATTTCTAACTACAAACACCTTTCATAAAAAGAAGTAACCCAGCAAATGTGCTGAATTTAATACCTATGGTAAATACAGTCTTAGAGTACTGCTTTTGTGTCCCATTGAATTGAGTTCAAAACACTAACCGTACAGGTAATGGCCATTAAAATATTACTTTCTGTTCTAACTCAGAAAATGTTGATGTCTTCTTGGCGTCTGATGTTTTCTAATCAGTGGAAAGCACCAAGCAGCATGGCGCGGTGTTTTTCTCACTTCTGTTTGGACCACATAAATACCATAGAAGAAAATCCAATTAAAACCAATCTTTAAAACCTAAAGGAACATAGAGGTAGGTTTATTTTAATAGAACTTGTAAACACAAACAAACTGTGTATACATCAGGAAGCTCGATCTCTGACCACACTTAAATGTACACAGACTACTGACTATCTGGTACATTGCGCGGGGCATTGTTGATCGTTGATCTTTACTTTTTCGAGATGTAGTGGGTGAGGATATCATGTGAAAAAGTGAGGTCATACCTTTTAGAGTGGCTCATCTCTCATCATTTGGACATAAAGACAAGTTAACAGAGATGAAAGTCATTTGCAGGATTATATAAATATTTTGCAACTCACCAAAAAAGGGAATGAAATGTGTTACCCATCCACTTTACCTGAATTTATCATTGTTTTGTCGAGAAGTTCTGACTTCCTTTACTAATTTAGGCCTACACAGATCAAAGCTACAGGACAAACTGTGTAGTGATTTGTTACAATGTGAAATAATTATCTAACTTGATGCTTGAGCCTTGAGAAAGTATTCATTCATGAAAAGACCTTGTAATATAATACAGTCAGAGATAATAAACAATTTTTAAAATGGCCATAGAATTGAATCATCTGTCTGACATATCTGTACTGGATTTTTTTTAAGGTTTTAGCAGCGACATGGTGGGTTAGGGGTTTAGGGTGCTGACCATGTAAAACGGTAAATGGTTTTATACTTGTATAGTGCTTTTCTATGCAATGAAGCACACTCAAAGCATTCACATGCTCACACACTGATGGCACGGCCACTTAAACAAGGACATTTCAGCATGTGAACTGGAGAAGCCGGGATTCTAACACCAACCCTCCGGTTAGGTGACATCCCGTTCTACCTCCTGAGCCACAGCCACCCCATGTAGTGGCAGCAAGGACCTAGGTTGTGTGTCATTCCTCCCTCCTTTCCTGTCACATCTTTGTTGTCCACTATCCAGAATGAATGCAAACATGCTCTAAAAATCGAAGGCCAAGTTTACTTCAGGGATATCAGGCTGCATTTTGTTGTCTTGTGTTCTGTTATTTTGTCATCTTCTTGTTAACATTATTAAAGTATCATGTCACATGATGACGAGTATGAAAGCTTACACAGAACTGTATTATCAAATAGTTTCCTGGCAGAGACTTCCACTTCTTCCTGTAGTTGCATGTTGATTGCAAGTAAGCGGAGTAAAACCTAAAACATGCAGCAAATACCAAGAAAGTCAGCTTAGTCATAGTGAAATAACTATAAAGCAAACAAATTTGGCAAAGCAAAATGAGAGCTTGAGTGTGTGGAAGGTGTTTTTTGTGGTGTATAGGCATAAATGGCAACTAATGGTTTTATTCTACAGGTTAAACAGTCAGTCCCTGATAGCCCCAGCTACAGTATGCTGACTTTGTGCAGACAACCAGGAATAATGTAACATAAAGTCAGTTTACAGTGCATGAAAACCTCTGGACTGGACACAGCTTTTGGTTCTGTATAATGTAAAGAGATTTAGGCTCACAGTCTTTTTAACGAGAATCCGTATCCCTTTTGTCCTTCTTTCCTAGAACATGAATGATGCAATGGCCGTGTTGCACAAGCTGCAGACAGGTCTGGACGTCAATGTGAAGTTCACAGGTGTGCGAGTCTTTGAGTACACCCCAGAATGCATTGTGTTTGATCTGCTGGACATCCCTCTTTACCATGGCTGGCTGGTTGACCCTCAGGTGAGATGGACCTTACTCATCATTGTTGGTTTTCTTTACCTCCCTATAACTCAATCCTCAACCCATTTCTGTTAGAATTCACCAAAGGTGGAAAGTAACTGAGTACATTTACTCAAGTCCTGTACTTAAGTACAGTTTTGAGGTATCTGTACTTTACTTGAGTATTTTCATTTTCTGCTGCTTCATACTTCACTACCTTTCAGAGAACAATACTGTACTTTGTAGTCACTACATTTATTTGATAAGTTTAGTTACTTTTCAGAATGAGGTTAATAAAACAATACAGTATAATCACACGATATATTGATCTTTCATGTAAAGTTTACAAGCTACCCAGCAGTAATTCAAATTATAAGCATATGAAGTAGTTTTAAAATTAGTTCTACCTTTTACGAACTGCAACATTAAATGCAGTGTGCACAATGTACACACTAAAACATCAATAATTATAATCAATGTAAACTCTGCCATTCTGCATAATTAGTACTTGTACTTTTGGTACTTTAACTGTATTTCCTGCTAATATTTTTGTACTTCTACTCAAGTAACATTTTCAATGCAAGATTTTTACTTTTACTTGTAAATGAGTATTTTTTTTACACTGTGGTATTGTTACTTTTACTTAAGTAAACAATCCAAGTACTTCTTCCACCACTGGAATTCATTATACAACCTGAAATAATCAACCAGCCACATTTTGCCAATTGTGGATGAGTTCACACCTGTAGTTTAGTTGATTGTTGCCTTTTAGGTTCAGTCCGTTTCATATTCACACAGAGGAAAACTTGGCATCTTGATATAGTAGTTTCTGTACAATAATGTGGTCTTTACACTTTGCCTAACTTAACTCTTTGCTCCCTTAACTACGTATGGCATGGATGGATAACTACAGTACATACAGAACATGAATATTATCATGCTTTCCAAATGATGTTGGGTAATTATAGGGGACACTTATCCGTCTGTTTGCACATTCAGCAGATGGACAGTGTACATGTAATGGTAGATTAGCTTTTGCATATACCAAACACACCACAAGCTAACAGCCTCAGTGTTCTTCATACTGCCTCCTTTGGGTACAGGTGTTTGGCCTGAGTTCAAACTACACTGTTCATACCACCCTAGACAAGTAAATGCATCAGAGTTTAGCTGAACAGTGATGGCAGTTTCAGTGTGAACCCCCTCAGATCCAGAGTTTTTCTCTCCGTCATATATTTTGTATAACAGTATTGTGGCATTTAGTAAAACCGAACCGAAGCGTGGTGGATGTTCTTTCTGATGGTTTTTATTTTTGTTTGCAGATGCAGGACATTGTCAAGGCAGTGGGTAACTGCAGCTACAACCAGCTGGTGGAGAAGATAATATCCTGCAAGCAGTCAGACAGCAGTGAGCTGGCAGGGGAAGGTGAGTGCGTTCTTTTCACTCCCTCTGCTCTCTGACCGGCCTGCTTCCCCTTATGTCACCCCTCGCCTCCTCTATTTCATCCCTCCATACTGGGAGCTGCAGAAAATGAAGGAAGGAGGATTGTCTTTAGGAATATTATAAATTAAAATTCTGAGCTTTGGAGACAAATGGAGCTAAAATGAACAAGATAAAGTCAACTGTCACCATATTCTGCTCTGTTTCATTCCATAGTAGCACGAGTCCAACTTTTGCAGTGGAGCGTTAGTTCATTTGCACATTGATTACATGAGATATGTTTACCGGACTGTCCAGTACAAACACAACCACAGAACAAATTCAAATCAAACCAGGACACATATGTGGCTATTCGTCAGATGACCTACTTCCAGGGCTCACAGTTTTCTTACCAACTGTCAGTAACTTGTCCGCTAAATATTTGCTCAGTCAGCGCTGAACTCCCTGAATAGTTGTCAGCTGGGCTGCTGCCAAGTCAGCACATCAAGGATTTAGTCGATGATGATATTGATATAGGAGACACCCCATTTTTTCTCTTGTATTTCTGCATTTGTAGCCTAGAAATGCCTTTTGAGCACTCGATTGTACATTTGAGTTTTGCTATGCTTTAGTAGTTAGTGTTTTCTTTCCTGCCAGTCTTAAGTGTCACACTGGAGGTGGGTGTTTGCTCCAAACCCAACACTGTTCTGTCTTATAGATGTCACTCACCATCTGCCTCTCAGCCTGTGTTGGGTTCATTATAGTAACTGTGACCAGCTCCCACAGCAGCGAGCACAAATGTTCAAATAGCAACTACAGACATTATTACAGGTTTTTCAAATAGTGACCTTTGTTCATGATTTAAGTGAGGATTGCATGAATGTATTTTAGATGACTCATCCAGTGGTCAGTGTTGTAAATGAACAGTTTTTGATTTACAAGTAACAAACAAAAGATATTCTCGCACTTTCCGAAGTTAAATAATTATCTTCAGAGCTGCTTGAATACTCACAGACCAGCAGGCAGTTTACAGGTGAATCTTGTCAAAATGAACGGACCATTATTAGTGTGAACATGTTGTTCAACTCAAGTCAGTTTTAAATCTGTCAAAATACAGGAATTTAAAACTGTTCAAGTGAGACTCGCCATGGCTTTGAGTTTCTTTGTTTTTCTGTACCTCCCGTTCTCTCGTCCTAGGCATCGTAGCAGAGCAGTTTCTGAGCAGCACAGCCACTCAGCTGACGTACCACGGCTTATGTGAGCTCACATCCACTGTACAGGAGGGAGAGCTCTGTGTCTTTTTCAGGAATAACCACTTCAGCACCATGATCAAATACAAGGTAAGCACTAAAAACTGGTGCTTTCTATGGAAATTTCAGCCACTTCCATGGTTCAGGAATACATGGTATTGTCTGACCTTCAAAGGTCATGAAAGCCTTGACCTTTCAAACGGCCAATACTGTGTTTTGTGTGTCACATAAAAACACAAGGTTAAACTACTTTTCTGTCTGGTTCTCTCCTGACTTCCATACAGATATTACAAGAACTAACTGTGCAGTTTGCGAAAACATGTTTTGTCTGTGAGCTAAATGGAATAAATTGCCTTTAATTGAATTCTTCTTTGTGGGCTGTTTGGTAAAAAATAGTTCAGATTTGATGAAAAGTTCGTTTTTAGAGAAAAATCTGAGTAATATTCAAGTTTCTTTTAGCACTTTTAATTATTTGCTATAGTTTCAGAACAATAGCTTGCTAGTTCAAGTCTTACCATTTACCCGTTCCACTGTGCTAAAGCTCCTCAGTATCTTTCCCTTGTGTTCTCTACATAGATTTGCTATAGCCTATTCTTTAAACTAAAGAAAGCTACGTGCACATAGCAGATATACAATATCAGTAGATAGCATTCAAAACACAACTGCAACCTACTGCATCTCCAACAGCTCAGTGCCCACAGCTGGCTTGTCATATCGTTGTAGCTGGGACAGACCTTTCCTGTTGTCTACAGGAGGAAGTGAGCTTGCATACTTTCATTTTGAATAGTACACTATCATTGCCAATGTAAGCAAAGCTGTGTGTGCCACCTATAACCCTCAGAAAAAGCATGAGAGCAGCTTAAGTTCTTTTGTAATCACTAAGCTGCAGACTTGCAGACGTGTTCGTACAAACACACATGACAAACAACCATTACATGGGTACTAATAGTATGCAGTCTGAATATAGTGCCATTGATAAGGTTTGTGTTTGTTTTCTAGGGCCAGCTGTACCTCCTGGTTACAGACCAAGGTTTCCTGACGGAGGAGAAGGTCGTCTGGGAGAGTCTGCACAACGTTGATGGGGACAGCAACTTCTGTGATTCAGAGTTCCGGCTGCGACCTCCTTCTGATCCAGAGACTGTGTACCGTGGCCAGCAGGATCAGATAGACCAGGTCTGAGCACTGATGCAGGCATGACTAGGATAACCAACAAATACCTGCCATCAAACCCAATGAGCTTAACCATTATGTGCTCTTCACGTCACTGTACTGCAAAAGCGAAGATGCAACACAAGACCAGAAACAGTAAAACTGGTCTTCACTGCGCTGCATTACTTTACTCATGAACCTCTTTTGTAAGTTACTTTACAGAAATTAGATGACTGGAGGAAAGCAGAGATAAAAAGAAACAAAACAAAACATCAAATTCTAGCAAACACCAGAACAGTTTAGAATCATCCAAATGAATAACAAAATGAAACAAAAATTCAACTGTGTACCATCCCAGGCTAAAAACTATAAGTGAAAGTTCCTAAATAATAGATGTGTTTTGCTTGCCATATCAGCCTCTTAGACACAAACACACACACTGTAACCTGAGAGGCAGACAGCAGGGCTGCGTGGCGCCCCCCTCTGTTCTCATCCAAGATTCGCTGTACCACACAGTCTTTACACTGGCCCCTAAAAAATGCATTAGGCTTCTTTCCCCTACGTATTTCTAGCAGTTTCACAGCTGTCTGCTCTTTGGTTGGCCAGAGTGTTCATCTGACACATTGTCTGCTTTTGCTCCCACACACACACAGACAAGATCATGGAGGGCTATTATGTTTTATTCTCCTCACTTACTCAGGGCCAGCCCTCCTTATCTGTAAGGTAGGCTTGGTGAGAAAAATCTATTTATGCACTTATAATAAATTCAGTTAGACTGAAGAAAACTTGATCCAAATGGGGAAAGTGGTTGTCGCAGTGTCAAAGAACATAATTTAGAGAAGAATGGAGCATGTATTGAATATAATCCAATGGATGAGTATAGCATAATGGAAGTTTTATTAATTATACCAGGAAGAATAGTACAATGAAAATAATATGACTGTGGATTGTGTTATCAGGACTATTTGATGGCGCTGTCACTGCAGCAGGAGCAGCAAAGCCAGGACCTGCAGTGGGAGCAACTCCCCGAGGGCATCAGCGACCTAGAGCTGGCGAAAAAGCTTCAGGAGGAGGAGGACCGACGAGCCTCCCAGTACTACCAGGAGCAAGAGCAGGAGCAGGCGGCGGCAGCTGCTGCAGCAGCAGCACAGGCACAGGTGGGGAGGGTGGGGCTGAGGGAGAGGAAAACAGGTGGGAGAGGGAGAACTGAGACTTTGAGCAAATGTGGGGTATTTAGAGAGAAGATGGTGTATTTTAGCAACAGATGGATGTTTGCATGAGAGATTTAGATATAAATGAGGAATAGAGGATGAAAATGGACAGTGATTCCCTGCTGCCTCCCTTCACAGTAAGATCAAGCAGTGCAATTCAGTATCAGAGGCCACATCCTCCAAATTATCATACAGTTGAATCATCACCTTCATGAAGGGAGGATTTATTACAGGACTGTGCCATTAGTCTGCATCAGTTTTAGCTTTTAGCTTGGTGTACAAGGTACACAGTGTATTGCATCAATTATTACTGTAAATGAAACTAAGACGTTTTTGGGGCATGTTATTGTCACTGACAGAGCTCTCTAGTCCACAACAAGTCACAACCAGGAAATGAAAACAAAATATCTCTCCTGCCATGTACAGTACGTAACTTTATTTCTACTTTTTTTTTTTTTTTACATACAGCTAAATAATGTCTACTCATGAAATCTAAAAATTCATTGGTACCAGCTTCTTAAATGTGAATATTTGCCAGTTATCCCCATTTACTGTTTACACTAAATTAACAGCATCTTTGGGGTTTAAATATTGGTCAGAAAGAAGAAGAATTAGAGTATGTTAACTTACATTTAAATGAATAATGAAGGCATTTTTCACTATTTTCTGACATACAATGAAAAATCAATAAAATTATCAGAGAAAAAAAATTTGTATATATAATTGTTGTTTACAGCTTTACAGTACTTCTTTGATGGAACTGAAGCAGTTTGATGAAACACAATGTTCCATTAATATAAACATAAAACAATTAAGGTCTTAAAACATTTGACACAGTCTTTATAAGACTGGGGAACACGAGATGGAGGTCGGAGGACCTGACATGGTTGATACTGTATCCAGTGCTACAGATTTATAGCTCATGTTTATTTAATTAGATCATGTGGTGACCCTAATGATATGGGCTGAGCATGGGACCCCTGGAGTCTCTGGGCAGTTGGTGATCCAGCCTTGTATAAGGCATGCTATTACATACTGTATATTCAAACCCAATACATCACCAGAACATCAATAAAGATTTTTCAAAAAAACATATTAAATGGATCTTATGTTTCCAGTCCCATATAACACGCCCAATTGTGAGCCCAGATATTAATATTTGGCTTATCACCTGTTCAGAACAGTAAGTAGCTTTGCTTGTAATACACACATAAACATGCTCTTTTGCTGCTTTGCTCTTTGGTCTTGTTTGTGCAGCAGGGCCAGCAAGAGCCTGCCGAGGGGGACAACGCAGACAGAGGAGGTGCAGGAGCGGGCGGAACAGCAGCTGGTGCTGGCATGGCGGCCGCAGCCACGCTCAGCCCAGGAAAACAGTCCTCTAGCGGGGACCGCAAAGCTAAGAAAGAATCGAAGGATAAAGACAAATGTGTTATTTTGTAACATATAGCGCGTCTGTGCGAGTGTGTGTGCGAGTGTCTGGTGCATTTGCTTATCTGTGAGGAGGGGGACAGCATTTGTTTCTCCATGGACAGGACACACCACGGAGTCCCCACTTGATGACAAACGAGACAATTGAGAAGAGACACAACAAAACAAACAGAGGATTTGCTGTTCCCAAACCACTGGTGCCTGCTATCCTCTAACCTCAGTGGAACCTGGACATCAGAGGAATGGACACTGTAACAACAACAATTAGCCCTTATCGTTCAGAGAGTCAGACAACCTTTGTTCTAAGTTGCACAGTGCACTATGTTTGTGATGTGGGTCAAGTTTCTCTGGGGCGGTGTATTTTATAGCAAAATACATAATCTGAAGAAGCAAAATGTCACCCTCTCACCATGTTAGTTCCAAAACATTCATTTTTCACTATTGCAGCACATGTACTTATCAATATTTACAAATCGCATATAGACAAACCCACTTTTGCTGCTTTGGTTGAGGTTTTTTTTAATTTAGCTGTTGATGCCAAGATTCACATTTTGTTTAACTATCTTTTGGGAGAGGATTTTATTTTTTCTGTAAGATGAGAGGGATTTTCTCATTGTTGTAAATCAACGTAACACTATTTGTGTCCCCTCTGAAAAACATCATGTACCTAATGGTTAATTTATGCCAGATAGCTGCCAGATACTGTAGCTACATCACAATACTCATCACAGCTTGCCCAGTCCAGATTTGCCTTACCAGACTATGGCAGTGTTGTAGTCTGCTCTGTTTGAATGCGAATGTGTGTTTGTTTTCATGTGTATGGTTATGTACAGTCTACGTGTGCTATCTGGTATAATGGCGTGTGGCATACGTCTCATTCACTGAGCATCACTGATGTAACAAGTTTCAGTTTGGAAATAGCCAAATCTTTTATGCTGTACTAGTTACGCTACAAATTTGAGACATTTAATGTCGTTCATGTTGTGGATCTATTTCACAAAAACTAAGTTTTGGACAGTCATAACGCTGCAGATTCTAACTGGCATATTTTGTTTGAATTGGATGTTTCTGTGACACAACTAGCTTTTGGCAGATGAGATCTGTATTAGAGTGCACCCAGTTTAGAGTGTATGGTAGTTCTGAAAGAGATACCACAGACTCTAGTGATTTGCATGTGACGTTCCTCTAAACACGGAGAATTCAGTTTATATTTACAAACATATACTATTTATTTTCCCCACGCATGAGAACAAATTTCACACCTGTGGCATCAAGATATACAACATGAACTCCATCTACAGTGATGGGATGTGTTTCATGCTGTATTTGGCTGTGTCGAGTACATATTTTTATCCTTGTTCTCCCCAGAAGAATCTCAGTCACCTTTAGCAGCTCCTTCTTATTAGAAACATGAATAAATTAACCCCTCTGTCAAATTCAGATGCAGGTAACTTGATCTATTTGTTGTTGAAAATAAGTTCACACAGACTGAGCTGTCCTGGGGGGAATAGGATGTACAGTACATTCTGAATACTGCAGTTCTGTGGAATGACCTTTTACTTGTGTGCAAAGACATGATGTACATATTTACCTAATGCATTCTTATAATGGATTTAGCTAGTGGTCTGTGCCATTATTGTACCATGGGTCTGCCTCCTGAGAAACCTTTCTATCTATACATTCCAATTGGATGCCTTGACTTGAGCCTTCTCTTACAGACTGAGGGAGACTGTTGTCACAGGAAGTCTTTGTAGTGCTTGTAAAGCGGTCTCCATTATTTTGTTCAGTGAGAACAAATTCACTGTCAGGACAGGATGATTACATGGAGGCAGCAGGCTACCTACTGTGTGGGAACCTTTTCTTATGGGCTTTGTGTGATGGCTGGAGTTTGAGCTCTGTGTTTGTTTGGCCCTAACAAGGCTATGTTTTGTATATATATATAAGGCCTTACAACATTTCAACATATTTTATAGGTCAAAAGGAAAAAGGCGTACTATCAGAATGAGACAATCCATACATTTTTTTCACACGAACATCGGAAACATTCTCTTATTGAAGGGACATGTCCTCGAGTGTCTTTTTCAAATGGTATGCTTTATAATGGCACAGTTCCTTGGCCTGTAGTCACTTTGTCTGTCACAACTTTAAGTATCTGTGTATGTATACTCACAACTATTTTGACACTTTGAAGGACTTAACACTATATTATTTAAGATCCTCATTGTTGAGCTTCACACAAAAAAAAACAATGAACTAAGCTGCTCCACTTGTATTAACTTGGACTACCTGATAAAAAATAAAAACTTCCTTGGACAGGGTTGAGGAACATTAACTATTTATACTTTTCATTGACTCATTAGCAGTTTTTTCCATACAGCTTAAATAAATAACATATAATCATAAAGTAAAAGATGGAAGGAGGTGGCTTTCTGGCAATATTGTGCTTTTTTTGTCTGTTTTTACCCAGTTTCACCTCATTTACAGTGCGAGTCAGCCCATCAAGCGCTGATTAAACATTCCAGTGGAAGCTTAAAAAATGAAACTTCACTTAGGCCAGTTTGAACTAATGTGAGAATATTCTATGATGGTTGGTGTTTGTATTAGTGGGGGAAAAGCACAGAGTGACACAAGCCACATTTTGTTCTTATTATTATTTCAAGTTTAGTACTGCACATTAGCTTGCTATCCCTAGTCGCCAAAATGTCATACTTTTGATGTAATGTGTTTGTTTCACCCTATTTCCTATGAAGAATTCAGAAGGCTATTGTGTGATCAATGTCTCAAATTGGTTTCTTGTATGCCTTGTAAAAGTGATAGTGGGATAAATGCTGTAAAATGTTTGACAAGGTGGTTGTTGAACAGATAACTGTTGTAACTGGTTACACTGATATGCACTAACAGAAGAGAAGCATACCTCATTTTATACAGACTGCTATTGTTCTTTGGTACCTTTTAAAAACAGAATAATGGCCAAAACAATTATTTCAACTTTATAGTTAATTTGTAATAGTATAAAAGGGCTTTTTACTATTTTTGGCCTAAAATGACAGAGTACATTTATTAAAAGGCAGTGCCACTTCAATAGAACTTGCTGCAATTTGATATATTCAGGTTAGTGGTACACCTATACCAGACAAAAGGCTACCAGTCCATAGGCCGGAGAACTAGCACACAGTTCAGATGTTGAGGATGTGATGATTGCAACAGCAGCTAAATGGGTGTCATTAGGATTGTGTAACAAAACTACGTGCAGTAGGCTGGTAGCAACTCAATCAGCAAAAAAAAGGTGTAGGTCTGTCCCTAATTCAGGTTGTTCTTTTTCCAGTCCATCCTTTAACTGCACACACAACAAGGGTGATGTGCCCAAACTTTAACATATGGAAGAGGCTGCTTCATAAAGCTTGAGTGTCATCATCTATGCAGCAGAGGAAAGTTTTCATTCTTGTTGTATGAAACACACATCGATCGAGGTCAATTCAAAGGGAGAAGTTTCTTTAATGCAATTTCAAACTCCTAGATTTTACTTTGTGTTGCATGTAGTGTGGGCTGAAAAGGCAGGCAGAGTACAACTCTATTATTAACTACACCAAGAATATCATTTCCACTGTATGGCCCATAGCTCCAGATTTTATAGGAAACACACACACACACACACACACACACACACACACACACACACAGAAGTAACATGTTTGTGAATGTGAGAGGTTACTCATTTGTATTGATTTAAGTGTCCATCTAGTTACAGAAATGACCAAATAATGTATGTAGCCTTTCACATTACAGTCACATATTGCATATGGTGATATATATACAAAATGCCTTATAGATGAGGGACATCAAACCTGATTAGAAGTTGCCAGGACAATAAAATCTTAAAATCAATAGTTGGTTTGTTGTCATTGTTTGTAATTAACCCTACTCGCTTTGAAAAGCAATGGAAAAACATATAAAACATAAGAAGTGTCACTGAATTAGTACAGAGTGATGTCTGTTGGACCCCGTGTTCGGCCCTTTCATGCTGCATGGATTAGTTTCACACACACACACATTGTGCAGCTTTGACCGGATACAATCCCCCTAGTTGAATACTTTTTGTACGTTATGGTTTGAGGAAAAATGCCACTATTGAATTAAGTCTTATCTCCCAAAATCACTCATCTGTGTCCAATTCAGCTGATTAGAAACTTTTCTTAGTATAAAAATGCTTATATCTGAGGTCCCTCAGATGACTGTGAATGTCAGAGAAGAAACTACAAGTACAAAAAAAGTGTGTAAAATCCAGTGACAGGTGACCAAAGCAAACACTTTGAGCTTGGAGGCTTAAATGAACACAAAGCAAAGCATGAAAAATATTTTAGTTTGACCTAAACACACACCTGACTATGCACAAAAATAGAAGGCCTAAAAAAAAATAAGGGAAACTCAAGAGTCAACTACTGCAACTGGAAACTGTACCAAAGTCAGGTCAAGTCAGTGCACTGGATCACAAAATGGTGTTTAAAGTTTAAGCGCTAAAGAAATTGAGCCAAAGGTTGTGAAATCTCCTGATTGTTTGTAAAATGACAGCTAATTTATTGATTTATTATAAATGACTGAAGAGAGAACCAGTGAATGCTTCATGTGCTTTTTGTCCACTTACTAAAATAAAGCACTTTGACATAGATTAGTATAATCAAGTCACCATGTGGAAGTTATTTCTTAAATACACTCACATTTTAATAGATATGCATATTCGGTATTTGCCACTGCTCACAAGCCAGCCGCTATTTCTATGTACCGTAGGAAAGTAGACCAGATTCCCCACTCACCTCAGGCTCAGAATATTTTGGTACATACTGCACATCTGTCTGAGAACTCACGCTGAGGGGTACAGTAAAAATCGAAATAAAGCCCTACTATTTTTGCTCATATTGTTCTACATGTTACTAAAGTTGTTTTTTTAAATGACCAAATACTGTCCCAGCATAGCAGTACCGGTTCTTTCTTGCTTCTGGGAAAACAATGCAGCTATGCTGTGTGCATTGTATTGCATTTGGGCCCTGCAGCTACACAATACACACAAGATTAAAGACGGGGTGAGAAGAAGCAGAGGTTATGGTGACTGAACAGTCAGCATGAGTCATTCTGCTACTTTTTTTTTTGTAGTTTAATCAACTTTATCAACCAATTACAGCAGGTGCGTAGGTACAGTGTGTGATGTAAGCAAGTACGTGCACAGACGTGTGGCATTGGTCCAGCTATTAAAATGATAAACCTGGCAGATTTTTTTTTATTAAAAAAAAAAACAAAAATACAAAAACAGGTTAGGTCACACCTGACACTGCCTGCTTTAAAGTTCAAACATGTCGTGTACATTTTTTTATCCAAAAACTCCACATGCTGCCATTGAAGTACTTCCTGCTTGATTCATTTTAAATAAAGCATGTGGGTTGCCACAGTACTGTGCATCTTACAAACTGTATACTGAGAAATGACTGAAGCCCAGACTTATAGCCACTGCTTGTCAAATTTCCAGAGTCAGCGGAACAATAAGTGAAATATAAAACAATGTGTTATGGCTCTTTCAAGACCAGTGAATGCCCTGCAGTAACGAACAGATTTTATTTCAGAGACACAGGCCTGTGCTTAACTCTACTCACGGCATAAGAGACATTTTGATACAGGGCAGGCCATTATCAAAGTTGTTTTCACAAATCCACATCTTTCCAAAACAAGAAATTCACACCACGTGTTAAAAAATGACTCCAGTTCTATAATAAAAGTAAAAGCAACCAAGTGTAACACTAGACTATTGGAAATGTACATACAACACTCAATTAGATGAGACGTTGGTAGCATCACTTCAAAACATTGTTACAAAGACTAGGGCTGTACACTATCTTCCTAAGTTGATAAAATGTGCTCAGGGATGTTTAACGATTTCAGTGGAACTGCCAAGAGAACCATACACTGAGGTAAAGACTTGTCTATACAAAATAAAATAGTGTCAACAACTTCATGTCTACAGCTGGGCCACCTAAAGCAGCTAATATTCTGAAAAGAGAGTTCAGAAAGTCTTCAGATTTTCAGGTGCTTTATAGTATCAGCATTACAATTAGTACTGCCGCTGTGTTCCTTTAAAGGCCTTGAATCCACCCACGCTGCCACCACTTGGAATGGAGGAGTTGGTGATCTGTACAATTCGGCTCATTCCAGATGAGGAGTGACTGCAGAAAGACAAAGCTCAGGTGTGAGTCAGCTGGAGCAGGGGCCACATATTTCTCATCAGTGGTTCATAACCCTGATATACCTGGAGGGAGCCATCATGCTGGCCCGGCTGTCTCCCATCCTGCGATTATCAGGGAAGCCCCCGCCTTGGGAGCTCGATCCACCTTGCCACTCCTTCCTCAGTCCCTGCTCCCTGCTGTGACGTTCCACAACGACTTGGCGGCCAGAGCTGAATGGCTGCAGAGACGGAAGAGTTTTAGAGTCACAATCAGGGGTCTTCTGTGAATTAATAAATATAAGTGTAACAGTATTTCTGGTATATACACATTTAGCAGTGGTGGCCTGCCACTGCAAAATTATTGTCACCTCTGTTTCAGAATTCTAAGAACTATCATGATGACCCAATTACACAACTCAGCATAGGGATTTTAATTTGCTAGGACAGATACAGGAAGTGGAGGCGAGAGGGAGAAAGAGAGAGGACCGTAAACTGAACTAGGGTTGGTGCAGTATACCACGGTATGAAAATTGACAAGTTATAATACCATGCTCATTTGCTTATTGCCAGTATTGAAGAAAAAAAAATGCAATGTGTGTGCACCTTTCTTCCCCAAATGCCTGTCAGACTCTACAACAGGCACCACATGCACACATGAAGCAGACAAATGGCAGAGCGGAGGAGGCTGGAATTGCCAAACTATCCACCAAAAAAGAAATTTAAATCAGCAGTGCAGGATTACTTTGGACATCTCAAAAACAAACACTTCCGAGAACACCATCCCACTGTACAGATCAAAATATGTAACCCATTTATAACTTTAATCTCAAACAGCAAACATCGGTTATAAAATGCGGTATAGAAATCATTTTCCAGTTTTTGTTCATTCGCTAACCTCCGACTTACAAAAGAACTTGCACTGATCCAGATCTGGCTGCACGTTTGTGCACCTACAGTAAATCAACAACTTTTGTAATAATCGTTTAGAGAACTGTAATGGCATGTCTCACTATTGTTAGAAGTTTTATAAACCAGTCAGTCAACTACTGAAGTAAATAATCAGCAGGTTAATCCATAATGAAAATAGTTGCACTTTGATACAAAACAGTTCAGCAGAGCAACAGCGAAGTCCTGCTGTTACATCAGTGCATGAGTGACAGGCTGATATTGTAATTAGTATAACATTTTTCTGCATTGAAAAGCCTACTATTACTTTTAACACCAAGTACATTTTTGTGTTAATACCTACTTTTACTTAACGTTATTAATGCAGGACTTTGTCAGGCTGTCAGGAGTAGGCTACTTTTACAGCGTGATATCAGTACATTTACACAAGGGTGTGAATACTTCCTCTACTACTGGTGCTAACATGCATACATGCTTTAGTTATACAACACAGTTATATATGCTGCTTTTCTAATCATCTTTATAACTGTTTATTTTTTAGGGTCAATCTAGTTCTGCAATCCAGCTCAATCGACTGTCACTTGCAATAAAAAAGACCCGCTTTTTTAAATTCTTGTGAGGTTGGGTGTAGCTGATAATAGCAGTAATTGTGTAATACTGTGAAACCCTGACGGTTATTCTGTGAAAATCTCATACCATTGCAACTCTAGTTTGAACTAACTAATGTTAAGTCAGATTTGACAGTTTATCGCTAACAACCCATCAGTTGCAAAATATCTAAATTCGTGGGAAACTCACACTCGTGTTTCAGCATCTCCTGAATTAACATTACTCATTGCCTCTGAATCATATGTCAAAATAAGTGGTGTGAAAAACAGTATTTCAATAATTAATGGGCTACTGACTGAATATTTTCAGGACATAGGGATGTTTCACAACTGCAGAGTTGACTGCAGCAGTTGAAGACAGGCATCAAAGCAGGGTGCACAATTTCCCCTTTAGATTTTACCATAGCAATGGTGGTTATTATTAGGGCACCAAAGTAGGTCGCAGGAAGAGAGAGGCCTCAGTCAGGGCTGTGCTTTCTTTCCACTCACAAGGGTGTACATGGATGACATAACAACTACCACTACCCCAGCACCAAGTGCTAAAGCGCTGCTGGATAAAAGTGGAAGTGGGCTAAAGCTGAAGGTTAAGCCAGAGAAGGAGTATTTCCATTGTAACAGTGTGCTTTCAAGTAAAGGTTCTGTGTAGATGAGGAGGCAGTTCCACCACTGTTAGAGCTGCCAAGATTGTTGTGGTGTCCGAGTGTCCCCATTTCACCGGAGGAGATGGCAGAAACATTATAAAGTGGTTGAGAGGCCCACGCTGCCTCAGCAGTGTGGGCCTGTACCAAAAAAGTATTCTGGAGCTCCCTAGGACTAGTTTAACAATAGAGCTGAGAGCTTAAATTTGCAAAAACTATTTGGGAGACATATCAGAATCTAGTGATATATCAGTGTGGTGTGCAGCACCAAGTGTCAGCAGGGCAGAAGTGGAACCTGAGGGGCAGGAGGCAGTTTTACAGGCTCAGGCAGTTCAAATCCCAAGATGTAATCAATTTAAAATGAGATAAACAAGATAAAAGCAGCAAATTATCACACTTGACAGACTGGAATCACTTAACATTTGGCATTTGATAAATGACAATTACTCAAAGCTACAAATGAAGTCAATTCAGTTTGTGGATGGACTCATCGAAAAATTGAGTCCAGCACTAGCTGAATTTTTAAAGAACTTCAAGACTTAACATGACTTTCAGATATTCATGTTTTTGCGTGACCTGTTTGTTCATCATCTTGTTAGCCTGTACCATTAGTACGGGAGGAACCTAAGAAATGCACTCGGACTCTTAGAAGATAAGCTGACCTGATCACTCATCACCATGGGTCTTCCTCCATCTCGATCACTGAAGCTGCTTCTTCCATGGGTGGATGAGGAGCCCCCTCTAAGTGCAGGGCCTGGACCATCTCTGCTTGATCGATCAGCACGTATACGTATAGGTCTTCTGCTCAATCCAGCATTTCAGCAGGCGACAGAATTAATACAAAGAAATTAGCTTTCACTTACTGGTGACAAGTCAGCAGACAATGCCTCTTTTCAACAACTGCATTATTCTATACCGTATGTCTCCCTTGTTGGAGTTCATCCCACCATCATTCTTCCACCCATGGCCTCCTTCCCTGGGTGGGCGGTTGTGTGACATGCCAGGTATTGCAGCTCTGGCCCCCATAGGGCGATCGTGCATGGGCACGGGTCGTCTCTCATCTCTATCCCTGCGCTCTGTGTCCCGGAGTTCGGTGCGTGGAGGAGGTGGTGGCTCAGCTCTGCGGACGGCTTCAAAGTTCTTGGGATAGCGCTCAAAGCCAGAACTCTCTCTGTGAGGAATGGGGCGACTCTTTTTTACCTCTGGCTCACCCTCAAACCGGTTACGCCTAGCAGTAAAACACAGACCAAAATGGGATTACATCACAAAAGTCTGCAGCATTAACAGTTGATCTTTTACTGTGGACCAGAGGGGAATATAAGCAATAGTACAGACTCACTATCCACAAGCTTACGTCTGTTCTGACACGTTCTGAAAGCTTTCCATTGCAGCTGATACCCTTTTGGCTCTGTTTTATTCAAGTGTCCCAGTAAGTCATAAAAGCGAGCCAGTTAGTGTACATAATAACAGGACCCAGAAACTGCTTTTAAGTCAGAATGTCTTCTGTGAAAAAGGCTTCTTGTGACTAATAATGTTGCCACAGTTCCTATTAATTTCAAGATTTGTACCTGTCGTATGTGTTGGGCTGCTCTGCAGTAGCCTCTGGAAAGCGCCCCCTCTCTCGGGGACTGAAGTTTGAAAAGCGGTTTTGCTGTCGATTGTAGTTTGAACTTTGGTTCAAACGAACATCAGACTCTGACTGCATCTTCTTGCTGCTGTTCCAATAGGAATCGTCCCTCCGACTGAAACAGCAAATACAGACATACCTCATGAGTCGTGCTTAAATAGCAACCCTTATGGCCTAAGTTTGCTGAAAGAGTCTTTTTCCTTGTTGCAAGCTTCACTAGATCAAGCCTCCTCACAGGCACTAAGCAACAAAACTCTGCTTTCTGATGAGCTGAGGAGTTTGATGCTTTTTTCATAGGCAACATTTCTCGAACCCAACAATGGAACAGTTTGTTATAATCACACCACCACCAAACTGCTGAGTGACAAAAGCCAAACAGCGCATATACCCGTGTTCCACCTCACGGCCTCTTTTTAAGTTGTTTCTCTTTTCTTGTTCGTAGCGGAGCTGCTCCTGCTGCCTCCGCAACTCCTCTCGTTCACGTGCCATGCGTTCTGCCTCTTTACGGCGTTCCTGATTGAGAGATATGGATATTGCTCTACAGTTACAAGCACACATAAAAAAATAATCACATTACCTGAATGGTTTTAACATCTTTCTAAAAACTATGTGGAAGCATTTAAGAACAAGTGGTAAAATGCAAATCATTTAATTCCTGCCAATAGACAATTCCATATTTCATTTTTTTCTACTGCATACCTGAAATCCTGGAGTGCAACTGTTTGATATAATCATTCATCCTGATTTAGACAGTTTACAGAAAAGCCTGACAATCTGACTGTGGAAAGGCCTTTACATTGACAAGCAGGTGAATTTATTTGTACTCTAAGTACCTGCTCTATACGGATTCTCTCTCTCTCAAGCCTTTCTCTCTCCAAGCGCTCCCTTTCCAGTTTTTGTCTTTCCATCTCCAGTCTCTGGCGCTCTCTGAGCAGGTTCTCTCGTTCTTCACGCTCCCGCAACAGACGGATCCGCTCACGCTCCCGACGTTCTTGTTCAGCAATTTCACGTCGCCTACAAAAAACAGCCATCATCAATAAATAAACATTCACCTCTTCATTTTACATTTTCTAAATGTATGTGAACTGTGGATTGTTGCAGGCTACCTGCGCAACTCTACGGCTCTACGGACACGCTCCACACGAGCCATCCGTTCACGCAATCTCTGCTCCTTCATCTTCTCAAAAGGCAGGATGTCTTTTTCTTCCCCCTTGTTAGCAAAATTTCGCTGTTTCTCTCTCATCATCTCTATCTGGGAAAGAACAATAGAAATTAAAGTTAAAAAAAAGCTCATAAGTGAAACGTTAAAAGTAAAAACAAAGAGATATGTTATGTGAGTTTTATACCTCTTCAGGAGGGATCAACCACTTTGGCCGCCTCTGAACATTCACATTGAAAAAGGGCTGGGGGAAAAAAAAAAACTCTCATTTATCATCATTTGACTCAAAATTTAAATATCCGCTGAAACATAATATAATCAAATAAAAATAAAGCTATTACCTTATCAAGAACCCTTCCCCTTCTGAAAGGTCTAATTTTGCCAAAATTAGAATCTACCACCACCATTTTGCCTGGGCTCTTTGTCCCTAGAGAAAATGTAACAATCAGAGAACACATACACGCCGACGTATTAATACAATTGGACTTTCTAAATTAGTGAGGAAATCTTACGCCCATGCTTTCTGTCATCTTTCTTCAAAGAATCTTGTCCTGAGTTAGATGACGCAGACTCAGATTTTCCACTTTTGGCCTCCTGTTTCTTGGATGAATCTTTGTCCTTTTCTGAAAGTTTATCCAGTTTCTTGTCTTCTTTTTTGTAAGATGGCTGTGCTCTACACACAAGGAGAACAAAAGGCTAAATGTGCTTTCAATCAACAACGAATTATTGTTTTCAACTTTTTCGATTACCCACTTGTTAGTCTGTTTTGTTCCAGTGATACTGCGCTTATCGCTTGATTTACTGGAGCTTGCTTTGTCCTCTGCTTCTTTCTTTGAGGGCTCTTTTTTGAATGGATCAGTTTTGGCCTGAAAAACAGCAGCAGTGAAACATAAATGACACAAGCCTCTCTGTAGCCTTCTGGTAAACAATTTCATCTGCTTCATAACTTACTCTTTCAACATATATCTGCTGTCCGTGGAGATCTGTGCAGTCGAGATGGGAGACGCACCGTGTCACCTCTGTACTGGAGGACATGGTCACCAAGCCGTAACATTTTGAACCCGGGCTGCGAGCATTTGTCACCACTTTGGCACTTAAAACCTGTTGAAGACAAATGTCATTTCAACAGTTTGATAAAACACTGAGCAAAAAATTACTATGATGTTTTCAGACATATACAAAATGAGCAACAACTAAAAATCAGCATTTTTTTTTTTACCTTCCCATATTTGCCGAACAGGTTTTTTAAATCAGCTGCTTTGGTGTTTGAGGACAGGCCGCTCACCCACAGGTTACGATAAGAGCTGCTGCTGCTACTGCTGCCACCTCCTTATAAAGATGTTTTCCAAAACATAATCAACAGTCACACTGGGCATTAAAAAAAGATACGGCATCAAGTTGAATGAAATGAGAAAATGGTTTTCCTCGTTTATTTCTAAAACATTTGGACATCTTACCCTTTTCATCTTTTGCAGTTTTTCCATCTCTGTCTCTTGAAGAGCTATGGAGCAAATGTTGCAACAGCAGAAATGAAAATAAGTGACAGTAAACAAAAACTTTGTGTAAAGTGACAGCCATACATCTAGTAGAATAAAAAGAAAATATTTTTGTACTTTTCGGGTAAAAAAAAAAAAAAACATTGAAGACAAGACGTGGATCTGAGCCAATGTCTCAAAGGCTTCATTGATTTTCCAGTGGTGAGATGGGTCAGGTTGTGAGCCAATTTATTCCCTGGACCAATGAAATCTTCAGAGGTTTGTTCAACTTCACAGCGAATCATTTGACCAAAAAGAAAGGGAAAAAACTGCCATCACGAGCACTAATGCTCTTTTATAGTGCCTTGTGTAGAATCTGGAAAAGGCTTTAAAAGTGCTGGAAAGGTCAAAGTAACAAAATAAGAGGGTCTCTCAGCTTCTGGTTAATGTCACAATTTAACCAACTTCAGAAAAATAAATCAAAGTAGTAAATGGGAGGATTAGGTACATCAGTGATCATTTCCCTTATGGCAAAAAAAATCTTGAGGCTACCCACAATGTTGCGTTCTTAGTGAGCTGGACTTGGTAGTAGTATCAAAGAACTGACATAGAAAGACAAACCTCTTTGCTTGACCTGATGCCCCAGTAGTGGAGGGGCCTTTCTTCCCAGAATCCTTTTCTTTATCTCCCGTTTCAGCCTTCTTCAAGGAATCCCTGCCGTCTTTCTTCATACTCTCAGACCTGGATCCATCATCTTTCTTACCATCTTTGTGGCCCTCTGTCTCTTCCGTCTTCATGTCATCATCTGGGCCCGTCTCAGCAGAGGCCTCTGGCTCATCTGTACCCTTCTCGCCCTCTGGATCTGGAAGTTTCACATGTTTACCTGTTTCCAGGAGATCATCACCATCAACATCAAGGGTGATGGCATCTTCATTTTGGATCGAGACAGACAGATGATCGTCCTCAGTTTCTTTAGAGAAATCAACGGTTTCAGGATCCATCTCAGCCAGGTCGGTCTCCACCTCTGGCTCAGCCTCCCCATCCATCTCTGGGTCGGCGTCCTCATCCACCTCTGGGTCGGCATCGGCCTCTGGCTCAGGTTCTGAATCAGCCTCAGCCGCCACAGCTTCTGACTCTGGTTCAGGCTCAGCCTCGGGCTGAGTGAGGCTATCCTCACAGGGTGCAGGCTTAGAATTTTCACGTGTACCATCATCTGTATCAGTTACATCTGAGGGATTCAATAAGGATAAACATGGCAAAACACAACTTTTAACATTCACATGTCGCATGGTACTTGACCTAAAAAGTAGAATAGAAAGCACATTTAGTGTTAATGGTCATCGAGGGTGTAGACACCACAGGAAGACACAAAACACACAATCTTCACTGAAAATGGAAGATAACTCAGTGCTCTTCATTTCTTGACACCTTATATACTTGAGTCATAATTCATACTCAACGTGCAATTCCATGTGCCTCCTACAACATCTGGCAGTTCTCCAGGTGGGAATCTTGTGGAAAAGCTCAAACAAGGAGGAAAATCCCATGAGTTGATCCTTCAGTTCTTTCCATTATGCAAAATGTATCCCCAGGAGGTCAGACCACACACACACACAAAAATCATCAGTTTCAGAAAATCCTCAACATCCTATTTCTTCAGTAATCAAAGTCAGTGTCTTTTCAGCAGATTTCAGACCACGTGGAAAAATTCTTCCATCATCAAATCCAACCTTTTGAAAATAGTCCAGTCAACTGTACGCAGCTGTGTAAAAAAGTAGGCATCTTTGATCAGTCTTTGTTGGTCCTTTCCAGTCCAGGACCATGCTGTATGTCACATCTTTTCACAGCACACATTGTGCTGGGGTTGCAGGGAGCAGGCAGGAAAGTGAGCAATTTTGATCGATATTGTCAGCAATGAATGTACGCAGTCTCTTCATCTTTCGGTCGCCTCTTTACAAAAGACCTCTGCTTCTTTACAAGGTGGTAGGAGGCTACCCAAATCCCAGTCTTTTCACAAGTCACCTGATAAGACATGCATTAAGGTGTCCAATTCCTGTGGTAAAGTACAGCACAGTATACAGACCTACCCAGTGCACTTGTCACCAGACTGTCCATGAACATTGTTAATTAAAATGCCAAGGGAAAGTGCGATGTTCCTCGAGATCCACAAGCCGTTTCTTCTTCCAGTTCACTGGAGATCATAAAATGTCAGCTTGTTTGTGAACCTTCACTCTTCACGTCCATGGGGAAAGTAGGAAGCTGAATACCAGATGCAATGAATATCCCAGAACCTTTCTGTAACACTTTGAATAATCCAAGAAAAGTGGGTTCCTTGAGTCAAGGCAACCCACATCCAGTAATTAATGTGTACCAATTACCAAAGAAAACAAACTGACTCGGTCTTCACTAAGCATGTCCACCTTACTCCCTTTAGCGTATTGTGACCTAGATAATGCATTAGCTTGGAAAAGCATGAAGTACCACAAAATGTAGGTTATGCATTCCAGCAGGCATTTCCTGTTATCATATGTGTTAGCTGTAAAAAAAAAAGTTAAAAAAATAAAAAAATAAACCTAATGTTAGCACCCGGCTTGAGTGTGCTGGCATACGTACCTTTTTCTGATTCGCACTCTTCAGTTTCCTGGAAAAGAAGACAGTGGGGTGAGCTGACAAACATTTCAACTCCAGTTCTGGCTATGTTTAAACATATAATTCATTGTAGGTTTTTTTTTATTTTTCAATATAAAGTACTATAATCAAATATTGAGGCAAAAATAAATTCAAATGAGGTGTAAATATAATCTAAAACATGTAAACGCATTTCAGCAAAGGAAAAGTGGTTCACATGACCATTTTTGTGTTCCACTTTGCTGTAATATTTTTTGTGAGTTATCTATTCTATTTATTGGTAGGTGTGCTTGATATTGAGTGTGAACCGCTGCTGAAACAATGCAATTTCCCAGATTGGGATTAATAAAGTATTTCTATCTATCTATCTAATTCAAGCTGTTACAACTCTGTATTGATCTTTCACCATTTTGACAAACCACAATGTGACAAGCCATTCAGAGTATGCAGCAGACATTTCTCTAGCGATGAAATCCTCAATCCTCAGCATCACAAGGCAGAAAAATATTAACAGTCATGCACAAAGCCTATTCTTTGGGAACACTGCATTATGATGGTTAAACTTTGCAATTAATCCACGGTTAATGTGTGTGCCGAAACATGGTGGGTGGTCTGTATGGATCACAGATATACTATGATCAGGTACACTACTACATCTAATGTTATGGTAGTTTAGTGATATAAGCTAAACAGTTGACAAACTTGATCACAGATTTATTTCTGGAACAATGTGGCAGTTCTAGCAAACAGTTCTATTTTTTTCCCTAGCTTGTTACTTCTAAAAGGTACACGTAGATTAATGAGAGCTGAACAATTAGCCTATCTAACATAGCCTGGTAGCAAATAATGCTAGTTAGCCTCTATTTCAGGGTTGCGTCAGGAAGGGCATCCGGCGTAAAACACGTGCCAAATGTCAACATGCAAATCATCAGTGTGACGATTTGCTGTGGCAACTCCTAAATGGGAAAAGCCGAAAGTGACTTTCTTTTAGTGTGAAATCCCAAAGTTGCAGGTGCTCATTGTAGACAGTCATGAAGTATTAGATGCATACATGCCATGTTTTAGATGGTTTAAATGGGGTCAAAAAATGGTTTCTCATAGATGGCTAGATATTTTATTGATCCCGAGAGAAATTCTGGTATCCAGTAGCAACAGCAATGATTATCAAAATCACCGCACCCAAAGTAAACAAATGTAAAAGTGTAAGGCTAAAACACACATAAAAAAAAAACGTATAAAGAAAAAAACAAGATTAAGTATAAATATAAGAGTATAAGAAATATATATATCGAGTAAAATATGCAAGGTATACAGTATACATAGAGTATACATATTAAGTAAATGTGCATCAAATAAGTATTTGATACACTGCCGATTTTTCAAGTTTTCCCACTTACAAAGAATGGACAGATCTATAATTTTTATCGTAGGTACATCTCAACTGTGAGAGACAGAGTCTACAAAAAAATTCCAGTAAATCACATTGTTAGATTTTTCAATAATTTATTTCCATTTTATTGCATGAAATAAGTATTTGATCACCAATCAACCAGCAAGAATTCTGGCTCTCACAGACCTGTTAGTTTGTCTTTAAGAAGCCCTCCTATCCTCCACTCATTGCCTGTATCAATTGTAACTGTTTGAACTCGTTACCTGTATAAAAGACACCTGTCCACACAATCTATCAGATTTCAACTTCTCCACTATGGGCAAGACCAAAGAGCTGTCTAAGGATCCTAGGGACAAAATTGTAGACCTGCACAAGGCTGGGATGGGCTACAGGACAATAGGCAAACAGCTTGGTGAGAAGGCAACAACTGTTGGCGCAATTATTAGAAAATGGAAGAAATTCAAGATGACTGTCAATCTCCCTCGGACTGGGGCTCCATGCAAGATCTCGCCTCGTGGAGTATCAATGATCCTGAGACAGGTGAGGAATCAGCCTAGAACTACACGGGAGGACCTGGTCAATGCAAAGACCATCTGGATGATCCAGAGGAGGCATGGGAGAAGGTCATGTGGTCAGATGAGACCAAAATAGAACTTTTTGGTATAAACTCCACTCACTGTATTTGGTGGAAGAAGAAGAAGGATGAGTACAATCCCAAGAACACCATCTCAACCGTGAAGCATGGGGGTGGAAACATCATGCTTTGGGGGTGCTTTTCTGCAAAGGGGACAGGATGTCTGCACTGTATTGAGGAGCGGATGGATGGGGCCATGTATCATGAGATTTTGGACAACAACTTCCTTCCCTCAGTAAGAGCATTGAAGATGGGTCCTGCCTGGGTCTTCCAGCATGACAATGACCCCAAACACACAGCCAGGGCAACTAAGGAGTGGCTCCGTAAGAAGCATTTCAAGGTCCTGGAGTGGCCTAGCCAGTCTCCAGACCTGAACCTAATAGAAAATCTATGGAGGGAGCTGAAACTCCGTGTTGCCCAGCGACAGCCCCAAAACCTGAAAGATCTGGAGAAGACCTGTATGGAGGAGTGGGCTACAATCCCCGCTGCAGTGTGTGCAAACCTGGTCAAGAACTACAGGAAACGTCTGACCTCTGTAATTGTAAACAAAGGTTTCGGTACCAAATATTAAGTTCTATTTTTCTATTGTATCAAATACTTATTTCATGCAATAAAATTGAAATAAATTAGTTAAAAAAAATCTAACAATGCGATTTTCTGGAATTTTTTGTAGATTCTGTGTCTCACAGTTGAGGTGTACCTAAGAAAATTACAGATCTGTCCATTCTTTGTAAGTGGGAAAACTTGAAAAATCGGCAGTGTATCAAATACTTATTTGCCCCACTGTACCTGTGTACAGTGCCAGTATGTGCAGGACTGAACACTGTGTGCAAGAATAAAAACAAACGCCAACATGTTCAAGAATAAGCATTATGTGCAAAAGTAAAGACAAGGATAAACAGTGGAGCAGTATAGCACAGGATAGAATTAAAAGAGTAACAGTAAAGGGATAAGAGATATTCTTATTCTCATTTTTATTGCTCTACTTTTTTTTTTATTCTCATTGTTATTTTCTATTTCCGTTGCCTTACAACACATTGAGAGTCTCTGTACTGGGGTCAAATTCCTGTATATTCAAACATAATTGGCAACTAAAGACGAATCTGATAAACTATGCTACACTGAGAGTAGTCACTGTGCCAAATTAGGTGTAAGGTAATAATTATTGCATGACCAAATATATATATAATTTTTTTTGCCTACAAAGGAGTGCCCTGATTATCATATAATTGTATTCACAAGAGTAATAATAAATGGGTTGTTGTTATTATCATCATATTATTATTATTAGCAGTAGTAGTAGCAGTAGTGGTAGCAGCAGCAGGAGTAATAAAGTTCAAGGAAAATCTTAGGGAAAAATCTTTGTTCATCTTAGGTGTTTATCAAAAAATAAATAAATAAATTTGACAGATATATCAGAATTTTAAATCATCAAATATCCAAATCGGTATCTGCCTTAAAAATCCTATATTGGTCAGGCTCTAGTGAGAATGTATGAGAACTCTGTAAACAGTAATGAAGACAGGGCAAAGACAAAAGCAAGCAGAATTGTGGCCAACATTCCACAGTCACCTTTGAAAACGCGTCCTCTTCCGCTGTGGTGTCTGCATCCGAGTCCATTTTTTTCCCTGAAAAATGAAAATCAACATGAAAAAAAAAAACACAAAAATACAGACTTGCTTAACCACCCTGTCTACAGAAGAAAATAAACATAAGATTACCTTTAGCTTTTCCACTTTTCCGAGTTGATGAGTCAGCTGAAACCTGGATTTGAATGTTTTCTGGGTCACCACCTTCATCCTCAATAGCCTTAAAAAAAAAAACACACACACACACATTAAGAAAAGCACAGTGCACAATATTATGCTTCAGGCTTATCATGTTCCAGGCTTCTTTCACCTACCAGTAATTGTCCAATTAACTGCAAACTCATCTGCCTGATCAGACAAAATAAACTGAGCTACATATGATAAAAGATTTTTAGAAAAAGTCCAGATAGTTTGAATCTTGGCCATGGTAGCCTTGTTTATGGGTTAGATGAGTGAGCAGTAAATAACCCCCAAGTCATTCATATTCACATAGATGTGTGTTTCATGCATGTATTAAGAAGATTGGTGCACTTACTGAAGTCGGGAGGCTCCCCATAAAACATCCATGATACTGACATGCAAGTTGGCATAATATGTTGTAGAATTTTTCGTTGTTCACTCTTTAACACAGCTGTCGAAACTTCTGTTGTCCAGGTTCACATCTATGCACCATTTTTAGCTTAGAGTGTGTATTAGTCAAGCTAGCAGTGCTGTGCATGAAATACCCATGTCTGTGAGGTTCCCTTAGTTTTACTGGGCAGCGTGAGGTAATGTTTGGCTCTATATATAAGCTTTAAGAAAACCCAGAGGCTGTAAAAGGCTGTTATTTGTGTGTGTGGGTGTGTAGGTTCAAATTTAAAAGGTGAGGGCACAGGGTAGCAAATGACATCTAGTTCACATGTTCACATATTATTCAGTGCATTTTCAGACTCTGCAGCACAAAATGCAAGGAAGGATATCACAGACATTAATCATTAAATGTTACAGAATTCAGATTAATCTTTTAAACAAACATCAAGTCAGAAAACATCACTTGTAATGTTGTAATGAATATTTCCATTTTAACCCCAAAATGAATCCTGTCTAAATCGCAAATCAAGTGAACTTTGAAATCCATTCATTTCGACGGTCTGTTCACTGGATAAAAAAGGAACATCTAAATCCACCATGGTTGCATCTTAACCTACGTGCTTTATCGTGATCAATCAAATCAATCCACGTAAAACGCTAAGTGATCACATAATATATCGTAAAGCTCGACAGGTTCAGAAAGCCATATTCAAGCACAATGTGCCTTTCGTGCTCGTGTTACCCCCTTTATTTACGCGTATCTTAAATAATACAGATGTAATATTATTATTTTTCCCAGCAACCACTGAAGCACGAGTAACTAGCATTAACATTACAAATTTTTCCTGACAGGTATTTTGTAGCTTTAGTTAAGCTACACAGTTATAGATAAAGTAAGTCAGCGGTCACTGCGACCGACTGTTGGCTACCTTTAGCACCTAGCCTAGCCAAGAAGCTCTCACAACATTAGCATTAGCAACTCTGCATCGGATTTCCCCGCTCCTTCACGTTCTTTTGCAAAATAACTTTATTTTATATTACCTGTTTTAGCCTTACAAGAAGGACGCTCTTTACACCACACGTGTCCAAATTCCTTCGTTTGAGCTCGGATTTAAGATCAACAACTCTTAATTCGTATAGTTTCTTACACTCTGTGGAAATGGCACCCGACGCCATTTTACCTCAAGATTACGGAATCGAGCCGCGCACGCGCAAACGGGTTTTGCCAGGATTCTTTTTCGTTGTTTTTATTTGTTGCCATTATATGTCGCACTGCCACCTACAGTGGTGGGAGAACCAATGAATTAGGACTGCAAACGATTATTTTCACAGTAGGTTAATCTGAAGATTCTTTTATCATTTAATCTAAAAATGTTACAAATTCCCAAAGCCCACTGTTTTGTGCACTTCAAAACAAACAAATATAAGATGTATTTAAAAGATTAACCTCTAGAGTCCCTGCGTCCTCATATGAGGACCGCACAGCTTGGGTTTCCAAAGCTCAGGACTCTAGAGGTTAAGGAAACCAGAAAATACACACACCAGAAGATGCAACCAACCCCAAAAATTTGGTAGTGGAGCAAATAAAAGCAAATCTGTGTCTCATAACATATTCCAGGAACATAATCTCAATTTTCTTGTTTAAATACCATTAATTTCATTCAACCATAAGTAGCCAAAATGTCCTAATTTGGAGGAAACTAAATCAGTCTTGATAAATGGTGGTCTTGGAAAAGAGTATTAATTTCAGGTCCCTTCCACTCAACCCTGCAGTTTGTATACAACACAGTTTCACAAGGAGACAGGTAAAGCCTTTCTGCTATAATGCACACTTTGTAATTTAATTTGAATGCTTTGCAGAAGAAGCTGGGATAATTTCTTTATATAGAAGTTTTTTTTTAAGTGGTTACCCAGGCCTTGTGATTTATAGTGTGGAATATAGGCTAAACCTTAGACTAAACTTTAAACTTTTATTCTTAGGTGGATTGCAGTGTTTTCTTCTTTCTTCAGCCTATAGTGCACACATGAACTCTATTTATCTCTTTTGACTAGGCTACGTATATTCAGTTTCTTTTCTTTCTTAAGACATTTAGGCTCTCCACCTAATCCAGTTCTAAATGTGAGGTACTTGTACTTATATTATAATTCATTATATTATATTTCAGAGGGAAATACTGTAATTTTACTCCACTGCATATTTATAGGCTACTTTTTGGACTGAGATTTTCCTCTAGAAATTATATAGTGCTTTTGTAAGTCAACTAGAAGAAAAAAATCAAACAAGTAGTTTAGTCCAGCACTTTCCAACCTAGAGGCATAGGGCCGCTTCAATGGACCACTAGATAAATCCGAGGGATTGTGAGATGATTATTGGCAGAGGAAAAAAAGGGTAAAAGTTCTGATGAAACAATCTTTTTGCAGTTTTGTGACATGTTAGGCCTTGGTTAGGCTTTTTAAATGAAACAAAGAAGACAGGGGAGCTGTTAAGAACCATCTAAAACATGACAAGGATTCAAATTCCTTGTGTGTTCAACATAGTGTACATGGAAAATAAAAATAATTATGATTCTAATCCTAGTTCCACCTTGAGCGGACACAGCAGCAAAATGCTGCGTACACATTGTTGCATCAGTATCAGCAGTCTAATAATATGTATCAGAATCAAATATCAATCAGAAAAGATGTTTTATTACATTTGCCCTTGGTAGCCAATTTTAAATATATTTTTCTGATAGCCTAATGCTATACTTGTTTATACTGAAGCTTGATATTAAATGCAGGCATTAGAGCATACTTCCAAAAACCGGAGAGCTACTATATGAATAACAACATGCACAGTATGTGGCAGGGAATCCAGGCAGTCACAAACTACAAGAACAAATCGACAAACACAGCCCCCCAGGACGCCACCCTCCCGGACAGCCTCAACAACTTTTATGCAAGGTTTGACAGGTTAAACACAGACACCCCCTCAAAATCCCCCTGCGACCCGGGGGACACTGCTTTTCAGGTGACGCACACACAGGTCCTGAAGGCCCTGAGACAGGTAAACCCCCATAA